ATGACTGATCACATTGACATAGTAATTGGAAATATCTCACATAATATTTCCAGGGCTTCCTAAGCCATGGTTTGTGTTAATGGAGGTAAGATGACAGGAAAGGTAATGATCACAAGGTCTCAGAACTATATTTCTACCTAAACAATGGCTCTGACATCATCAGGTTACAGTATTATTGCAATTATACGTAAAAGAGAAGAGCTCCCTATTCTCCACCTACCTACTCAGGACCGACAATTAGGCTTTAAGATACTTTTTGGCAATAACATTTCATTTCAGGACTTTTATTAAATATGTATTATATTCTACATACTCAGTATGCATGATTTACAGATGTACATATAATTTTTTCTATTTTTAAGAGTCATTTGTTTTTTTTTTCACAAATTCTTCTACTGGAAACCACAGCTCAACTTAAACTTGTGCCTGTAACACTCACTCTGTAAAGGCTGGGGCTGTACCACAGTGGTAAAGCCTGTAGTTTAGTATGTATAAGGCCTTGGGGTCAATCCTCACACCAGTAAAAACCATGAATAAATCTGGAATCACCATTCTTAGGTGATGGCTAAGGGGCCATCAAGGGAAACTGCTTATACAGCATTTGTCATGTACATATTTGGAAAAATCTTATAACTCTGATCTGTTTGTTTTAGGCTTTTATAAGAAGAAAAATTAACACTGAGTGAATCTCATAATGGTGAGGACTGCTGATGTATGTGAGGTGGATCAGGATTTCCACTCGCACTGGCTGCACAGGCTGCATGACTACACTGAGGCCACACAGTGAAAGCACCTCCCCTGCTCTACCAGCCCTTTCAGCCCAGGTCAAGGCAATGGGAAACCAGAGAAGCAGAGGGTGGGGGGAATCAAAAGTAGAGGTGTGTGTGTGGCATTTCCCACCAGGGCTATTTTCCCCTGCACTCTGCTGTGTACACTCTACTAACATATCATTTTTTAAAAGTAAAAATTAGTTTGTGCAATGGTACTAACTGGGCATTTTGGCTATATCTAATTATCAAATCCAAGAAATTGATGCTTATATCACCATAAGCTGAATTCCAATGTGAAAAGTAGGAAAGGGAAAACTAAGAAAATGTGTTGTCTTATATAAAAGAACCAAGGGTAAATACTGCATTCATCAATGATTCAATCAATTTTGTTAAATGTGTTAAAACATTTTTTTAAGCTGGGCACTGGTGGCCCACGCCTGTAATCCTAGCTACTCAGGAGGCTGAGATCTGAGGATCACAGTTCAAAGCCAGCCTGGGCAGGAAAGTCCATGAGACTCTTATCTCCAACAAACCACTAGAAAA